AAACTGTAAAGAAGTCACTGGACAAACTCAAGGAAAATGAATCAGTCATTGTAAAAAAAATGCACTTTCAAATTAAATATTATGAATTATGTTTGTTCATTCATTCATGGTCCTTATTGGTATTTGCTGTAAAATAACAGCTAGTGTATTCAGCAAATGGTTGAACACTAAGTGGTATTCTGATACTTAAATCACAATTACTTCTCTGTTTCAGAATGGGATTATTTCCTATTTACCTGCTGACAGTAGAAAACATGGTTGAATTAAGAAAAAAATCAAGAGATCTTTCTCCATTTATCTCTCATGAGGGAACTTCCTTGATTTAAGGCACAGGATGAAGTTCACTGCCAAGTATATATTTACAAACAGAATCACTGCCTAATGCTTTGTGATTGGAGCTGCATCCTCAGGGTGCAATTACAGCAATTATCTGGATGGATCTCTCATCAGTAACCTTTGACTCATCTCCTACAAACTGTCAGTCTTCATCATCAAATGGGGAAAGCAGCGTATTGTTTCTATTCAATCATCTGCTTCTGAGAAAGAGGAAACTCCACTATTAGGACAGCCTGCCTGCTCATACATACGACCTCCTGTAGCTGGCCTGCATCTGCCAGACGGAGTGGCAAGCCCCAGAATGAACAGCAGTTCACTCCTATACTGTTCTCCTGTCAAGCTGAAGCCAGCAGGCATCCTCACGCACTTCAGCATTTCTCTTAGGAATTTCAAGAAAAGCAAAGAAAAAAACCCACCTTGTTATATGCAAAGTATAGATGCATTGCCTAATCCTAAAGGTGCTGAGTATCTTAGTCTGAAGACTAAGTGTTAGTTACGCATCAAATCTTCAAAGTTAGTCCCAAAAGGAAGAGATCACTGCCTCAGCTCCCATCTAAGTGGAATGAATTCACTGAACTAAATAGATTTACTATAAACTTACACCTATGCAAAGATGGAGCATAGTCTTACCTTAACACTGTTATGACATCTATCATCACACAATTGTTACTGAAGTCACTTCACAGTGAAACAGCTGATGACTTACTGTAATAGAACAACAAAAAATCACCATTGCCTTAAAGGGAGCATAGCTTAGTTCTCTCAGCATGCAGTACTTCCAGAAGAAGGATGGCAGTTCCAAGGCTTAGTTATGATCACCATTAGCTGCTACCACCCATTTGATTAGTTGGCAATAAAAGCAAGGCTCTTTCTTATCAAAGCAAACAGCAATGTCACTCCTTTGCATTCCTCCCATTAGCTGCAAATGTTACATGGACAGGGCAGGGATAAAACCAATAATAACTGAATCTGGGGAAAAAAACCCCCCCAAACCACCGAAGTTAAAAATACACAAAATCATTTACAGCAGTAACTCAAAGAGTCAACTACCAAAGCAGAAAGAAACTAAATTGTTCATTGTCAACTGCCAATTCAAAGTGAAAACAGATTGGACCAAAGCTGTCAGAAAATTCTTTACCACTCTGTAACGATCACACAGCCATAATGCCAGACAGAGTCCAGCTGTTTAAGTGACTAACTTCAAACAATAGCTGGGCTGTTTAAAAGCACAACAGGGAATGATGTTTGTCTGAAGATATACTGTATTAATGTAAATTGCTTTCAAATGCACATTCTGTGTCTTAAAACAAAAAATAGATATTAAAACCTGTGTGAGTGGAAATTACAGCCATATATAACATTGTCAGCTGTAATTCAGTCATCCATTAGTGACTGCATCTAGTGAGCTTACATCCAGTGGGAAAGACTGTGACGAAGGAAAACGTTATTCATTTTACTCTTTCTACTTAAGACTATGGAGTCTGTGTTCCCTTTATGAAACTTCCAATTACCATCAGATGATACTCCCTTTGTATGTCCTTCTTAGGAGATGCTATACCACCAACTCCTGCCCATGGCTGTTAGTCATGCTGCCATAGTGCCTTTGTATCATCTTAAGCACTGACCTTTAAAAAGTTATTTCAGTTTTAATTCTGAGTTTAATGTCTCTGGAAGTGATTAACAGCATTGGCTTAATGTGATTTGGTCCTTGACCATTTACTCACCACCTTCTGCTAATGTAACTTAATCATTACATGCTGCAACACCCCAGGTTTCTATTTCTAGTTCAGTAAGATTAAACTAGTAATAAGCAGCAGCATATTGTATCATCAGTGGGCTTCATTGTTCCTGAAGGCAAAAGGATTAAATCAGAGATGAATTTTGGTCTGTGCATCATCTTTGTCATCTGTACAATGGAGACAACACAGCTATGGTTCGAGAGACAGCTAGGCTTCCTCATAACAGAAATTAAATTCCCGTCTGCTAACTTTGTGTTAGCTATCTCTGCAGTATTACTTGTGAGACTGTTGAATAACAAATTGATTTTAACTAACAAAAAAGGAATCATGTCAAAGATCTTCAGTAGATGCACTGACAGACAGCAGACTTGGTAATCAGCAAAAAGCTTTGAAAGACAGGAAAAAGATTAGTTGGGATACAAAGGAGAGGATGGCAGGAACTTAAAAATGACAGTTCAAGAAAATTTCTTGGAACATGCACAAGAATGGAAATCAGATGGAAATCCAGCTTCCACATCTACTCTACCAGAATAATGCTTAGATGATGAGTAAAGATCATCGCATGGCAAAACCTGACATCACAGCATGCAGAGAACAAGCCTTTGTGGTGATGCTGTATATGGAGCATGCATATGACGCTTTGATTGCAGCATAAGCTTTGACGCTTTGTCTGCATGCATCTCTGCGTGCAGAGAACAGGTCTCTGGGGTGACACTGACTGTGCATCATTTCCACACTGTTGAGTCAAAGCTTAACTTGGAGAAAACAGAAAAGACAAGCTCATCCTTTTATGAAGGACTAGAACATTTCCCATGGCCTATGTGCACAATTCACCTCACCTTAAGGACTTTTAAAATCTGTTCCTTGTTAAAAGCCCTAAAATCTCTGTAACTAGAGATTTCTTAGATAAACTGCTTACCTTATCATTAAGAAATAATTTTACATGATATGTGGCTTAACAACAACAGAAAATGTACTAACATGCCCCCAGTGCACACCCACAACACCTCCCTTGCAGTGGTGGCACTCACCTGACTTTCCATTGAGCCAATGCAGCCAAGTAAGCCAGAGCAGCAGACAAACACAGCGAAGGAATGCGCAGGTTGAAGAGGCATTGCAGTCAATGCACATGGAGGGACCAGCCATACAGCTGAGGCTGTTCCAGCTGCACTGGGAGCAAATGCAGCTGCATCCCAGCAGAAGGTATGCACACCCCATCCTTTCCTGACAGCGATGACTACACTTTGTAGTGAACACTGTGACTTATTAGCCTGCTCAGGAAAAAGAAGCTACAAAGAACTCTTTTTATCTAGCTTTGATGTACACAAAATCATCAGCAGGAAAGCTTAACAAGTCAAAACTAAGACCAAAAAAAAAAAAAGTCAAAGCACCTTTCACAATTTTGCAAGGGCAGGTAGTGACAGCATCAGGGGTGATGGCTTTAAACTGAAATAGGGAGATTTAGATAGGCCATTACATCCAATTGGACAATATCCAGAAGTTCTTCCCTGTGGGGGTGCTGAGGCGCTGGCACAGGGTGCCCAGAGAAGCTGTGGCTGCCCCATCCCTGGCAGTGTCCAAGGCCAGGCTGGACAGGGCTTGGAGCAACCTGCCCTAGTGGAAGGTGCCCCTGCCCGGGGCAGGGGGTTGGAACTGGATGAGCTTTAAGGTCCCTTCAACCCAAACCAGGCTGGGATTCTCACACGTATCACTTTTCTGCCCGCTTGCATGGATGTGAACATGTACTGCCATCTACAGGAAGCTACTCTAATTACCTCTATCGGTCATAACTCGGCACAATGCTTAATTAAAAGCTACCACGCAAGCACACGCTGCAGCCCTACTCTCGCTGACAATAGCTACTTTTCTTCATTTCCTTGGAAGATTCTAGGATTTGCGTGGAAAAAATACTTCAAAGTTTCAGAAGTCTCAGTCTAATCGATACATCAAATCTCACTTTTGCATCACCATACGCCACTTACTGGCATCATTGAGGGTACTGTGCTTCAAGGTCTCAGTTATATTATGGAGCCCAATTAGTAAAAATGTATCCAGAGTCATGGGTTTACTCTTTCTCTGCTTTCATCTACTGGGTATGTGTGCCTGTGCAGACACTGCTTCTCCTCAGGCATTAACTATTTAAAGCAGAGATAATTTCTGCTTGCAGAGGAAACTCACAATGCATGCTTCATATCACATAGAAAGCTTCTTTTCCAAACCAATTAGTTATTTAAAAACACTGTTGGAGAACACTACAGAATACTTGTGTCATGAAATGAATAATTCCTGTACATTTAACAATCAGTGAGTTAAAATGTTTAAAAAATGGCATCTGTTCCAAATACGTTATGTTTTAAAAGATATTAATATATGCATACTGGTCTAAAATATATTAATAACATCATCAAATTGCCTTTGTAAAATAAACACCTTAAACCATAGCGATGCAAATTCTTAATCATGAAGAACCATCACTGTTTGTGGTTAAAAACCATGTGACCACTAGAAATAACTCCTGAAAAGGTCATTTCTTCTTGATTGCCAAAGGGACGCATTTCCAGCTTCTATCTACTTGAATAATCACCTTGCAAGTTCAGAGTTTACAAGATTTTTTATTATTACATTCATATTTCACTCATGTAGTCTGATTTTTAGATGTCAGCACAAAATCAAGTTGCTAATAACAATTCAATGAACAATGTATATGCAGAAAACTGATCAAATAATTTATACAACTTCTAAAATTAATTTTAACAAAGAAATATGCTGCTTGGAATTTATGGCACAAATGGAAACAGTGCAACAAGAATAAAGTCAACAATATTATTTAAGCAATTATCATGGGCAAAAATATTCTTAAGTCCTGTGATAAGGCAGCCAAAACAGATTATTAACTTTCTAAAACTGGATGAATATTACCAGAACCATTAATCATTAATCTTTATGAGACACTTGAATAACACAATGAATAAAATCAAGGAGTAATTTTGATAAATTAAATGCACTGACTTCTCAGTGATTGCTAAAAGCATACTCTACAAAACTGACTGGGGTTTCTATTACTAAAGTGGTAATTCCTGTTCATATAGTTGATTGAGCTGATTAAGGTCTTGATGAGGCCTTTTAGTACAGAGTGGTCTGTATCTTCTGAAACTGGATCATTTACTCCTGCAAGACAGCAAGTATCTCTTGCTAATACTGACATTAAGAGATACTTAAGACACTGTGAGGCAGCTGAAGCTCCTAAGCATGGTTTGAGTCATTTTAACAGCAGAACAGCTGCTGAATTTACGTTATCCCTGTAAAACAGGCATGTAGACAGGTTAGCAAGTATAGGATAAAGGTGTTAATTTACTATACTAACTGGCAAAAACTAAGCTTTCATTTTTAACAGACTTTTCAAAGTAGCAAAAGTTAAAAGTTGCAGTATTTAGATGTCAAACTGCAGTTCACCTGGACTGCAAAGCACAGAGCAGAATTCACTACCCCCAACCACATCAGCCTAACTAGCATACATAGCTTGCTCTACATGCAACCCCAAACCATTTCATATTGGTCAAATTCAGTACCATATTTATAATGAAGTTAAACACAGATGTTAATCTTGAAATTAGCATTTTACTTATTTGTTATATGCTGAAGTAGTATTAAAATTGGTAGTAATGCTACTGCTTACTTATAATGAAACATAAGAATAGCAGCATTAGAGATGAATATTTTAACAGTAGTTAAGATTTTATGAATAGGCTTCCAAGTATTAATTATAGATGAAAAAAAATGAGGGAACAGTGCATAAATGGCAACTGTGATAATTGTAACTAATTATAAAAATCAATAGTACTTACTCTAATTACTCTAACTATAGTAATTAATTAAGCAGTAAAACCAGCAGTTCAAAAGCCAGTTGAGAATTGTATGTGACAATTAAAACTTCCCTGACTTTTAAATGTACTATAAACATGAGCTTTCCTATATAATACAAGTATGCTTTATTGAAGACCAAATTAAAATCAAAGTCATGGGTGTGTTTTGGATCTAGTACTAAATGTATGATCACTATCTTACATGGCAGCACTTGCAAGAGGCTATTTAAAGGGGAAAGAGTGGGAAAAAAGCTGCTCTCATCTGCACTTGAAAGCCAGTCAGGTTAAGGTGAAGGAAAGATTTGCATGCCCAGAAAGCAAGGTTTCTGACACCAGCACACACTGCTGCCGCTTCATTTTTGTCAGGCAGCTCTACATCTGTCCAGCTAACTGCTCTTAGTTTCCAAGTAGATCTGCATGATAATCCAATGCTCCCAAAAGCTGTATGGATGCTAGAGCTGAAATAAGAGAGAAGAAAGAAAATTATGCAAAGAACATGGGGAAAAAGACAGGACAGGCAGTGTGATCTAGCCATGAAACCATACCCTAAAGTTTGTGGGATCCTAATACCCCAACAAGAAACCAAAATCTGCTTCTGCCACTACTTTTTTTTGATGTAAAACTAAAGGAAGTCTTCAGAAGAGAACGACATTACACTGATTGAAAACCACTAGGAAAGGAGAATGGAACTAGTAACATTCAACTATTACTATAAGCATTGGGCATAAACCCCATCACTTTTCTAGAAAAAAATAAATAAAAAGAATTGTATTTTAGCATTGTAAATTCTGTTAGAAACAAGAATGTTCACAGAAAGGAGATCCAGTAAGTGTTCCTTGCATTAAAAAAATCACTGCCTTTCAGATGCTCACCTCAGCAAAGTACTGAAGTTCACGCAGATCTCAATTCTATACAGCTACTGAGGAATAAACTTGCTTCAGATCTGCATGCAATTCTGTGAGCGAATCTGGAAGTAAATGCAAGGTGAAAGAAGCCTACCTACCTGTCCACAAATTATTCTGAAATATAGCTATTTTTTTCTCATTCTGTTATTACATGTATGTAATAGACCAGGAGACGGCTCCCTGTAACTTCCACCCTTGGCAATGTTATTAGGTTACAGAGTAACAATAATCAAAATGAGCACAGAAAGACTTCAACAGCTTGCAAACCAGCATCTTTTCCAGCTTCCTAATTGGACACACTTTGAACTGCTCAGTTACAACCAGTGAAACAAGGAAGACTAGAGTCTATTAATGCATATTTGGCCATAATGCTGAGACTCCATTTCACAAATCACTTCAATTTTCTGTTCTCAGAGTTGCTGTTTCTATCCCATCTAAAACAGGAACAATCTTACTGGCACAATACTGACTCTTCCCAATGGAGAAATCTTGGAATGATTCCAGGTCAGTTTGAAAAGAAAACGCAAACAAAAAAAGTCATTGTGGCGATTAACCAGAAAGACAAGTAGATATTTCAATAAATTTAACAATATATAACAGCATATCTTTTATCCTAGTTTATTTGGAGAATGAATGTATGTTGACTATCACATTACAAGCCATGTTAGTGAGTTGTACCCACGGCATTCTTATCAGGGGAAAACTAAGCATTATTTAACTGGAAATTTAATTCTCATATACATGCATTTTCTATTTTAATTTTTGGTTACAGCAAAGCATTGACGGCATCAATCAGACGAGTCATCTTTTGTAAAGCCACATACAGGATCCTATGGGCCCCTGCAAGTTGTATAAGAAGTAAACTATATACTTGCAAATGTCAACTTTGGGGAAAAAAACCTTCTGGAATGGCACAGACATTCCTAATATTTGTGTGAGTCAATTAATGGACTCAGTATTTGCACAAATCACATCTAAAGACACATTATCTTAGCTCCAGGAAATCAAGCTTCCAGAGGAAGGTATCTGTAAGATACCAAAAAGAAATTGCTTGCACGTAGCAAAACATTAATAAACAGCACAATCTAATTATTGCAAAAACATAAACACTGCAGCTGTAGCACTTCTAACCATACCATTACAGCCTTACCAGTGAAAACAGAAGTGTCAATGCTAATGTAAACTCAGCTGCTGATATATATTCATTAGATTCAGAAAAGCTTCAACATTTCTTCTTCTGTGTCAGATTTTATCTGTCATCAGCCACAAATCAGTGTAGATACAATAGGGTATACCAAAATGTAAAGTTTCAGGACACCTAGGACTTAGATCTATCTCCATTCTCGTCTTTTCCTCCATAAAAATCACCTGAAGAATCCTATCAAGGAGAATACTGTGGCTTTCAAAGAGCATCTGGGAAGCAGAGTGGCAAAAAAAATGACAGGATATTCTGGTCAGGCAGAGCTATTTTTTGGCCTTGGTGGCCCTGAAGGTGACCTCAGAAACCCATAACCAACTTTCACTCTGCAACAGTGCAGAGATTCAGCATTAGATCAAACACACAAAAGGAAGGCAGGATGCACGAGGATACAGGGCTCCTTGCCCATGCCCTGACCTGAATATTGTATATTGTGCTTTGTCCATTTCAACAGAAATGCACATAAATGAAATTACGAGTAGACACCTCCTCTGGGTTAAATTTAAACTTTAAGGTGAACCTGATATAATATCACTACATATGTGGTGATAGGCTAAGATTTATTTAAGAGAATTAAAAACCCCCCAAACTTCTTATGTTTTGAGAGTTGAAAATAAGACAAAACAAATGATTTTATCAGGAACGCACTAGCATTACCCAAAGGCACACCACTTACTGCTGTAGAGGCAATCAACTGACCAATTATTCTACCATCACAATCTGACAAAAGCCAAACTTACTTTCTGGGAATCTTAAACTAATGACAAAAGATGAGGAAGCAGAGAAGGAAAGAGAGAAACAATGGACCATCCTTTGGTTTATGTTGAAGTTTACAGAATAAATGCTCAGTGCTCAAGAGCTACCCACAATGAGTACTGCTAAGTAATTACAGATGAGTTTGTGATTGCACAGACATGCTGAACCAAGAGCTCTATAAACCGGCCTGATCACCTCTGCAGTATGACAGAAGAATGACTCTAGCCATTTAAATCAGTAGTATTTTTATCATTATTTGATCACTCTCAGGTCTAAGTAGAAGAGAAAGAAGATGAACAATTTCCTTATTACAATGTGCTACATCTTTTGTGATTAACATGCAACCTGAGTTCTGAGATTTGAAAGTTTTCCGTCTGGTCTATATTAAAGCAGTATATTATAAATTAAGAAAATTCACTATGGCTTAAGTCAGTAAATTATGTGCTTCATCCTCATTTATAAAGGCAAAGGGAATTTGTAAAAGGGGAAAGAAAACCACATTTGCAAGCATTGCTAAGCAGGAAACACAGGAAGACGTTTGCAGGAATAGGGGAACAACAGTCCCAGAATGGGTACCTGAGCAATGACCCAAATCAGATTACGAGAATTTCTGACACACAATGAAGTATTCTTCCATTATTAGCACTTAAATTAGCTTCATTGTGAAACAGTAATTAAGCAGCAGGGAGATTCACTGTCTTAGCCTTTTATTCTTGATTCTAATTTACATGATTAAATTCTAACTTATTCGCTGATTACCTTGTTGCTTAACATGCTTTTGGTTCTCATGGGGTTTATTTTTGTCCTTGCTTCTTTTTCTGGGTGTAGCAGTTTTTGCCCTCACTAAGCCACAAGTTTCAGCATGCTTATGCATGTTATCCTGTTAGCATAATGAAGCATAAATATATGAATCAAATATTAATGTATGTAAGCAATTTAACACACACAGAAAAAACAAATATGGTTCTGACAGAAAAATTCAGGAATGCTAAGTGAAAGGCTGACTTAGTTAAAACTTTCATAAAACTCCTGACGATTTTCCAAATTATATATTAAAATTCTGTTTAAAGGAACACTGCCATTTGGTGGGTATAAATCAAGTATCTAATTTTCTGGTTCCTGGATAAACAATAAAGTTTTACATGTAAAATCTGTATGTGGAAAAAAAGGTTATTTTTATTTCAGCAGTGTGCACAGTTAACCCCAGAGCACAGATACGTTCTAACTACATATGGCTTTGAAGTGAATAATAATTTCTTACTTTCCTTGCTGAATTGGTCTTTCTTTTAAAATTCATACCGCCACACTGCCTTTTGGTTCATTTTAAGAAGCGTACTGGATTAAACATTCAATACTGAATTCCACAAACCAGTAACAGCCCTGAAAAGATTAAGTAGCATATATTTTCTACCTAAAGGGGAATATAAAGATCTTTATTAATCCCCCAATGCAAGGTCTGGGAAAGAAAACAAGTTTTGCTGGCTTAGCATTAAGGAGTTAACTTTCCTGCCAGTACACTGTTTTTTACTCTCAGTCCTTCCTGACAATGTGATCTGCAATACTTAGCTAAAGATAACTCCACTGAGATTCCTTAAAAGGAAGTATCTTACCCAGAGTGAATAGCCCTTACCACATTTAGGGCATTCATCAACTATAGGCTTAATATTAGAATCATGGTGCTTCTTAGAGTGAAGAGTAAGAAGCTCCTTTTGTTGAAAGGTTTTGCTGCAGCACAAGCAAGCAAAGGGCTTCTTCCCAGTATGGTTTCTTTTATGTACAATTAAGTGTTGTTCCTGAAACAAAGAAAATACCTCTAACATAACTATCCAGCTCTGAGAGTTCAATAAACCCACACAGACACACAGGGGAGTGCAAGGATGTTGCATACTCCTTAATTATCCTCCACTGTAAGCAGATACTGAAGAACACACTGGGATACTGCCCACTGACTTGGAGAACATGAGACGTTTTCTCCTAACCTTAGTGAAGTTAGCAGAGAAAATCAGAATGGCGCAATGGTACATTCCAACATACCAATGCCAAAGATGTGCTATCCTAAATGTATTCTTTAAAAAAATTACAGTTCAGACCAAATTTATTCTGTGATGCTACTGAAAAATCACATTTAAGGCTCAAATATTACAGTTTGTTCCTATCGTAATGTCACTGAAAGTGATTTATGTTACTCTGTACTTCTAAGCTGTTCATGTACAAAAGATTTATCAAGAAGATAGCCTCAGACTTTACAGCATTTCAATTTTACTGTTATTTGTGAACCATTTATCTTGCAAATAAACGTAACTACACCATTTTAGTTAGATTGCAGTCACAGAAGCTTTTATCTTAAATTAAAAACCCCAAAACCCCACCTTGCCAAACTCTCAACTGAGTATGCAATATTTTTACAGTGAGTACCTGTTTACATGCATAGCTGCACTGATCACATTTGAATCTTCTTTCATTTCTATGAGTCTTCTTGTGCTGAACAAGAGCATAGCGCTCATGAAATACAGCTTCACAGTCACTGCATTTAATTGCCACTGCCATGTAGGAATGCAGATTTCGTAAGTGGACACCTGAACAGTTATACAAAGCAATTAATTTTTATGGTAAATTTTTAATTTCCACCATTTTGAAGAAGACTTACCCTGTGCATAGCCCTGAGTAATGTATATATTGTAGAGGATACACACAAAAAAGAACTTGTGTTCTCTGCAGTAGGATTAAAATTGCACAATAAGCAATTTTTCAAAGAAGTTTAACTGAGTTGCAGCAAGATGCTGTAACTTTACAGAGAGATTTAGCAGTTACAACCCAAACTCTTGCTCATTTCCATGGAAAACATTTAACAAATCAAATCCTTTTGAAAATTCCAGTAACTGGCTGCTTTTGTCTACACATAAAATTAATTTTAAAATGCTGCCCAAAGTAGTACTTACAGTATTAAAATGAACAGTGAAAAAATACATGAACGATGAGATTGTATATATATATATAAAGTAGCACTTCTACCTTCAAATACTTAACAGACTTCAATAGGATCTTTATTTGAAAATACAAATAGATGCTAAAGACATCTTTGTATACCTAAATATTTTTCTTAATATAGCTGTTTCATTTATTTCTTTAAACTTAAAATTTTATGTAGGTTTTGTTGCCCTTGGTCAGCTATATTGCCTCAAATACAGCAAATATGCTATAATTCTAAAACATTGATTGATTAATAAAATTCTTATCTGTACAAAACCTTTTTCTTCCTAGAAAAGATGAATTTGCATATGAAATACATGAATAAGAACAACTCTACTGGTACTTGAAGCAAGTACTGTTCTAAAGAAGAGTAATTCAAAAATTTCATATATAAATCCTTAGTAAATTGCTTGTATTTCAAGAACTGTGGTTTGTATGAGAAAAAATTTCAATTTATGTTCTCAATTACAATTTTAATTTATACTCTCAATTTGAACCTCTGCGTAGAGAATGAAGATGAACTTATGCAGAGGTTTGTTCTTTGCACTCTGGAAAAAGATCCCAACTAGCTAAGAGACATTTGAGTTTATTGCATTACCATCAATGTTTCACAAGTGTTATACAGCTCAAAAATAATCTTTGATATTGATGTAATAGGAGTTAGAAGTCTAAGAGTTTTGAATACTGGAGGCATAGTAAAAACATGGATGAACCAATGAAGTAAAAATTTAACTTGCACTTTACTAACAAATGCTATTACATGTATTTCTTTAAATTACAAGGACAATGCACTCAGCAACTAAACATACAGTTCAATTTTAGATTAAAAGGTAAAAGCTGATTTGGCATATGCAAAACCCCCATATATACCATAACATTCAATCTGCTTTAGTGTCTCATATAGCTAGATGCATATATTCATTTTAACTAGGGCTGAGAAAGAAACAGAATGTGAGAACTGAAATGGCTTAATAAAAATCTGACTGTTTTCTGTGGCTTTAAGGAAAAACTCCACTACAGCCTGGGCACGTATCTTTGCGAGGTACATTCTTACTGAAAACCATAAGGTCACAATGCCACCAAGTATCAAGCAAAAAAACCCAAATTAAGGAAATTAGCACATCAACCACAAGATGTCGCCACATCTCCTTGCAGGAGGAACTTTCCTGTAAAACAACGAATACATTTTCTATAGAAATACTTTGTAATGATATCGAGTCATATGTAACATATTTGGTATCGTTGTAAGCAGTGAAAATGAAGAGATTCCACATCTAATTACCTCTACAGTTCAATTTTTTACTTCAAACTCACCCAGGTCACTTTTTCGCGCAATAAAGGCACTACAATGTGGACACTTGTATTTTGGCACATTTTCTCCATGCTTCTGTAACATGTGGATTTTCATGGTACCACTTTGAGTGAATGTGGACTGGCAAACATAACATTCATAGGGTTTTTCACCTGTAAAATACATATTATAATAACATATGCTTAGAAACGCTACTCATTTGATACAAATGCAAAATTGCCACGCCTGAACATCCATGTTCTAACAGCAAGTCTTCAGACCAATTAAAATGTTACTGTTAGCGGGCAAAACACAAACGGCTAAAGAAGTTTAAATAAGTTTACATAGCTGATTAGAATGCAAAAACTTGGCTTCCAGAATCTGTATGTCAAGCTGATGAAACACAAAGCTATTAAAATTCTAAACTATTAATCAGGAATTATTTTAATTATCTTCTACTCTGTCCTGAATATTTAATATACAAAAATGCAGAATTATCCTCAAATGTGCATGGAGAAAGTTTACAGCTGTAACAACATCATAATAAAAGTGAATCAACCCCAGCCAATCATAATGGTAGAAGAGAAAGCAGGAAATTGTTTTCTTGCCTTTCTTCCCTAAAAAGTCACATAAATATAATAAAAAAAATGATTTTCATGATGAACATCATCAAGAATTACATCATGACTGACAACTGACTCAGTCTACCTGATCATTACATCAGAGTCTTACCTGAATGAGTTATCATGTGCCTTTTCAGTTTATATGCATCTTTGCTAGCATAACTGCAAAGTTCACAGGCATAAGGACGCTCTCCTGTGTGTGAGCGAACATGTCGTTTCATTTTGCTTGCCTAGCATAAAAATAAGACCATTTCTGCAGTAACACACTGGACACACAAACAATTAAAATACAAGCAATTTTACACAACACATCTATTGCAATTTAAAATAATCCATCAATCCCAGAATTAGCGCTCATCCAGCCACTCCTTTTTTCCTGTACAATCAGCCTGGTGTGGTTTTAGGTAACGCTTGTGCACTCTTTCCCCAAATGATCTTACTTTCGTATTTAGTGTCAACATAAACAAAGGAGAAATTTCATTAGAACATAAAAGCTAGGATTTTTAAAGGGGATATCCACTACTTTCAGGCTACTTGGATATGTCAAACATGAAATTCTTTGAAAATACTCAGGAAAATAAATGAAAGACCAAACTCATTAACCAAAGTCTGTATTCACCACCAAGGCCTAATGAAGCAGTTTAATTGCAATTCAGTCCACTTTTTAATACTGTTCTTGTGACACATTCTATATAAATACTGTAGGTATGCAAGCTAAAATTAGGAGTTACTTAATGCTCCAATTCCTACATCTATAAACATATATGAACTAATGAACTCTCACTAGACCCATTCAAATCTCCAACAGTATTCACTTAAATAAAATTAAACATGATTGCCAATCTTTCCTATACCAAAGTCAAATTGTATGCATGGTATTACTAGGGGGCTCCTTCAGCTCTCCTCATTCAGGTAAAGCTTACAGCAGTATCAGTGAGAGTTCACAACAGCAATGAGTACTGAACGCTTATTAAAACAAGGAAAATAATGGGAGACTTTAATATAAACTGACAAGTTTTTTAAAGATGCAAGCCATCCAAGATTTAATTAGTAAGGTAAGTTGTGTGGAATAAAGTTCAGGCTTGCCTGCAGCTTTAGATTTGGACACAGCACATAAAAACTTTAGATATTGAATATCCACTAAACTGTGACAGCGATTCAATCATAGATAACCATGACTGTGATTCAATCATAGGTACATCACTGAAGGCCTGTTTTTCCCAGTGAATCCTTAGGCAGTCACTAACTTTTTTATTGCTAGATTAAGAAAATTTCAGTCCTGTAAGAAACCCCAAACATCAGCAAGTTTTGTCCTACAGTACATAGAATGACGCATACAGAAGAACTTCTGTAGGATGCTTTTGCATGATCAAAGTAATACAAGTACATTGCCTAGCAACAATTTTAGTATAATAAAGAAGAAAACACGCTTAAAATGTAATTAATTTAAAAAAGCTAAATAATATTGTTCAAGTTTGGCTATTCTTCCTAACTCAGAATGCACATGTACGTCTGCATCATGAGCCAAGTATTAATATTGTAACTTGACATCTGCAACTACATCTGTAATGTATTGAGTTGATTTCTTATAGAAATCTGACAGTAACAAAAGGCAATACAAGACAGTACAGTATATGCACAGAAACTTCTCAAGGTTAAAATCTATGCAAAAATGATAGAACTTGAAGTGTATTAATATCTTAGCATGTGAAAGCCTACAAACCCTTCCAAAAGATCCAGAAAGGCTGTACTTACTTCTACACTAGAATATTTACACAATGAACACTTGAAAGGTTTTTCTAAGGTATGCTTGTAACGCCTGTGCCGTGAAAGCTCACCCCCGGTCACAAATGCCATATCACAGTCACTGCATTTATAGGGTCTGGTCCCTGTAAGAATACACCATTTCTTAGAATTTTATTTATCAACGCATCAGTATGATTCTTCTGCCTTATCATGCACAATCTTTTACCAGAACCTTTTCCGAGTTTCTGAATTTTATATACTATATACGCACACCATAAGTTTATTATAAACACAATTTATCAGTTTGTTTCATATGGTTACAAAGCAAACTGAAAACATCACAAAAAATTTTATTGCACACATGGAATCAGACACAACTGAAGTCAACATTCAGTTAACAAAAATTATTAGGATAGTATTTAACAGAATAAATGAATACATACACAGAGAGTTACTAACTATAGACCAAGTCTTTTCAGTGTAGAACTCCAAACAAAATCAGAGCACAAAACGACCACAGAATACAGCCCTAAGACAATTTTTTAAATAATATGTAAAATGAAGTCTTTTCACGTTAGATACCTGTATGTACATTCAGATGGTTACGCAGGAGACTAGCTGTACGAAAAGCCTTAAGGCAGAGGTGACACACATGAGGTTTCTCATCAGAATGGGTTTTCACATGACGATTAAGACTTGATATTCTGAGTGAGGTGAATGTGCACAAATCACAGCGGAAAATTTCTTTTTCTCCTGTGGGAAAAGACACATTTAGATTATATGAGCCACAAAATAATGACTTCTTCAAAAAACAGTACCAATTTCAATATAGTTCCTCTACTTCGGGTAAAACTACTTCATACTTCTACATAAAAATACATCATAAAAAAAATTAAGCTGACAGAAACTATTGTATCCAAGGCTTAAGTGATTTGCTCAGAAAAGTAGTGCCACACATTACTGATACAGTTTGGAACCCAGTACCAAGAAACCTAACTCCTAATCAAGCTCTCACCTCCAAGACAGGATGAAACTTCCTCTCTTGATAGCACCAATAAAATGTGGTTCATCACGGCAATTACAACCTGTGTAATACACTTCCTGATGACAACTGTATATTAGTACTAAGCAAGCTTGTTCAAAGATTTGGATATTACAAGTTAAGCTATTCTCAGCTTTCTGATAGTCCTGAATCCATAAAGTATATGTAAAAAAGATCATGACATAAAAAGCCTTTTTAAAATTATTAGTTGAATTTGAGGAAAAAAGAGCAATTCCTTGAAGAAGTCAAATAAAGTTATGCTTTCTGGATTACAGAACATGTCCAAGTTCATGGCATAGCAGTAATGAATTTCTTTTGAGTTTAGTAAGTTAAAAGTGAATGTGTAACATTTTCAGTTTTGAAGAAGATTTAAAACTGCAAAATGGCAAATATGTCATATTCGAAGAGCCTTTCCAGAACAGTTGTCTCAGCTCCCAAATGCGCTCTTTGTAATGATTTTCATGCTGAGACCAAAATGTATTTTATACAATGCTTTACACCACACAGAGATATGCAGCTAACACTTCAATAACAGCAAACAAAAACACTTTATGGTTATTTATTCATTGTGGATTCATGCCCACACAGAACAACATTGTTAGCTCTGTTAAAGCTGCTCAAATGTGCTTCCTATAAATGCAGCAGCTAAAACAAGGGACATTAAAAATTTGTAAAACATCCACACTTTAAACAACCTCAGCCAAGATACTTTAATATCCAGATACTATGACACACGTTTATAGACTCTTCAACATTACTGATGTCATCCAACTTTTACAGTACACACACATAGTTTCTAGGGAAACAGATGCTTATGATTCCCTTCTGAGTCAGTCCTTAACTTATGCAACATACTGTTATATTCCTAAAATCTGAAATCGGCCATTTTCTGTTACTTTTATTCAAGTTCTGGGAGATACCTTGCTGACAGGCATTGATATTTGCCCATCACCCTCAACCAGCAACTTGAAACCACTCTAAGCTCATCCACAGCCCCCCAAACAAGCACATTTTGAAGCTGAATGAGGAAACTAAGTAAGTTACTAGGTTCATTCAAAGGCAGTTATACAATATTAACTTTGAAATCTCCCCAAAGGATTCAAATACCACATACTGTTCAAAAGACCATTAAATTCTAAATGCCATCCAAAACATCTCTCCTGAACACAGCGCAGATGACATCAACCTAAACAAGCTCATTTATCAAGGTTGAACGGTATTATGCTTTCTTCCAAATTTCCATAGAATAACATGAAACCTAATCTAAACTTAACACTGTGAATATCTGCTAAAAGATTTCAACTTTGCTTAAAAATCAAACTTAACATGTTATCTAAAAGTGAACTACAAGGATTGCTAACTTTTTTACCTTTTTTCTGATGTGGAGCACAAATCTGAAATTCTGGATTCTCGGGATTTCTCACAGCTGCTTGTTCTGATGGAGTTGCATGTTTCTGCTCTTTACCTTCATTGCTTGGGTCTGATATATCATCACTGGCTTTGTAGCTCCAGCTCTTTGTTTCCCCAAGACTGAAAAGAAGTTCCTCTACTCCCCCCACTTCAGATGGTGTCAGCTGCTGGACCTTATTTTCAAATACAATTACATCATTATCTCTGTCAATCTCTTTTAAAAAGTTTTACAACTTTGCTAATCAAAGCCAGTGGCAAAGCAACTCAGCTACCAACAAAACACAAGCTACTCATTAATTCTGATTTTTAGCTTTAAATACGATGGGTAAAACTGCAACAAAAAACAAACTGTATGTAACATACAGCTGCTGTGTCATACAGCAAACAATTATTATAACTGAGCCCTAGATCTTTAAAATTTGACATAAACTTTCAGAGCATCATTTCAAGATTACAGCTCTGAGAACACAGAAACTTACATCCTTGTTTTTTAAAACGAATCTCATTTCAGTACATTTACCTTTCAAAAGAAAACAAGAAGAAAGTTTGTGCTCAGTTTTTCACCAAACTAACAGAGGACTTCTGCAGCCTAACTGCAATGCCTTCTTTGTCACATGGCAATTAACAAGGTTGTGGTACTTTTTGCATTAAACTTAAATATGACCATACCTGGATATTATCTAGGGTACCACATAAATTTTCAAAGGAAAAAAAATACTGTTTTATTATAAAAGCAATAGCTAGCACAGGATAAATACCAGTTTGCATGTCCTTTCAATGAAATGCATTTCAAATGAGATCATGTTACACATCCAGCTTTAACAATGATTGCGGTGTTGTACTATTGCAGGCGAAGGGGAATTGTCTAATGCTACTTAAGTTATCTAGCCTGTCAAACGAAACAGCACCAAACTGGTGAACTGAATTAAAAACTTGTCTGAATTTCAACTGATTAGTCATCTAAAAAGGCCAAATTTTTAGTCTGCCTTTTTAAACATGGGATGACATTCTAAAAAGCTGTACAAAGGATTAGACACTTCAGTCCAAAAAATCTGAATGCCTAGAAAAAATAATACCAAAATCAGAATCAAATCAGTGATACTGCCAGCTAAGAGTTAACCTACTGCCATCTTTACCACATCCAGAACTCGTACCTCAGTCAGCAGCATGTCTGCTGGTTTCTCTGCTGGCTTGCTTTCTGAACTAACTGCTTGCCCTTCTTCTTGTAAAACATTACTCTGTGTCAGCCCTAAGTCATAAAACACACAGACCCCTTCCCGCACGCTCACAGCCATGCCTGCCGGCACATTGTGCAAGACGGGCTGCACCACAACCGCCCCAGGCAGCGCTACCATAGCCATGCTGTTCTGCCAGTGGGCACTTATCGGGCAGACGCCCTCCAAGTCCTCCTCCTCTGTGCTTGGACACACTGTCTGTAGTGTCAGCAAGTGCTTTTCACCCTCTTCAGGAAACAGGGACCACTCTGGGGACACACTCGCCCCCGCCTGCATGTTGAGTCCCCACTGTGGTCACTGGCGCTGCTGCTCTCCTTCACTTGGGTTTTCCTGTCCCCATCACTCTCTTCTCTCAGTCTCTTTTTTTTCTACACCCCCTAGTTTGGGGATAGGCTCCAGCAGCCCTAAGGCCACGTACACTGCCGGGTGAACCTGTCCAAAAGGCGAAGGTTAAAAATGAGGGCAAATCACAGGCTTTCAGGACAATGCCCTGGACCTGCTTCACACTGCAGCCCTTGAACACCTCGCTTCCTGCCCCCCCGCCGCCTCACTGGCAACCCACACCCTCAGAGCCTCCCGGCGGGCCCTCACCCCTTCCACCTCTCCCTGCGCCTCCGCCCTGGGCTCTCCCCACCCCAATCCACCTCCCTGCCGCCGCCCTCCAGCCTCCCGCCGGCGGCTGCGCTCCAACGGCGGTGGGCCCAGGCCTCGGGGTGCGGACAGGCGAGCAGCCGCGGCGGCGACCGAGGCCGCTGCGTCCCTCGGGTGGAGACGGGGCTGTGCACCTCGGAATGGCGGCCCCGTGCGCCCAGCGGGCAGCGGGCCCCGCAGCCGCAGCGGGGAACCGGCTCGTGGGCAGCATCGCCCGTGGGGGGCAGTTGGTTAATTCCGCAGGAGGCACACGGAGGAACCTCCAGGGACCGTGCCCGGTGCTCAGCAAAGAGCCCATCTCCTCACTGTGAAAGCAGGGTGGGTAGGCAGCAAGGCCTCCTGTCACAGCAGCCTGCCATTTTGTCACACTCGAGCCCTCGATGATGATCTCGGTCTTTAATTGCAGGCCCTTAACCTTCTGCTCCCACTTGGCTGGAGACCACGGAGCTGAGCTCAATTGGTTTCCCCACTTGCAAAGTATTTGAAGTACCTCCCATGTTTCTCTTGAAGAAGCACTTCATCCTGGGTGCCGTGTCACTGGAGTGGTGCTGAAGAGCGGGCTGACTGCTGGTGCCGGAGCACCGCGTACCCTGGGAGCTGAAGTGTTTCACAGAATTGGCTGAAGTAGGTTTGCAGAGGCAGTAGAGCGATATGCATAAGCATCATTATGTGCTACTTTAGGTCAGGATTGGTTATTCAGTGAGAACAAGAAGTTTTATACTTAAAAAGAGTTCTCCAAAGACATTGTGAAAATGACTTTGAGGTAAACTTGTATATTTCAGAGACTTAACATTTAATTTTGTGTACCCTTCTAGACTAGCAATTTCCAACTGTCAGACATTTTATAAGGCTAACTTACCATTGATCTCTATTATGCACTAGTGCAAAGTACATATTTGGAGCTCTATCACTAAATACTAGTTCTGTGTGTAGCAAAGTACAGTACATTGCACAGTGATTGTAGCTCTGTGTGGTCCAGATCCTGCTAAACCATGTACGGAACTTTAAACAAGCCCCCTGAGCAATCTGTGGCTTTCACTGCCTGTGTAAGTAACACATTAAAACTTGCATTTGTGAAATGTCCTTAGCACAAAAAGCAACAGATGCTGCTGGCCTGTTTAGCTGTACCATCGGACAAGGTGGTGTTTTGGACAAAGCCAATATATGGTGTATTTCTGGTTGCAGTTAACATTTTTGGGTACCCAGGAGCCAAACGCCCCTTTTCCATGGTCATTATTACTGTTTCTCTGTTGTGGGTGCCTGAGGGAGCAGGCCTATATAGTGCTACTGGAAAAAGAAGTGATTCTGGTTACTGCAAAGGATGCAGCTGTGAAAAGTACATTGGTGGGGTCACTGTAACAAGTTCTAAGAGTGAAAAATTAAAACTTTCATATCTTGATAAGTGAATCTCATAACAAGCCTGATTTTAGGTCCTTGACTTTACTGGGCCTTATCTTCAGAGATAGAAAGTTTCTGCAACTCCGATAAATGCCCTTAACAATAACTTCACCTATCCACAAATCTGTAGAATCCTAAATGCAAAAGGAATATTAATTTTTTTTACATGTAAACTGCAGATTAGTCACAACTATTACATTACTTGGAATCAACAGAAATCCAAAGCAATTATTTAAGGTTGAATATGCATTCCAGCAATTTAGGGCTGATATTTTAGTTAGATACCGCATTATTCATCATCTACAGAATCTGTGGGCTCTCAAAACCAAAGAACAGGATGCAGAATACGCAATATGTTCACATAATTATGCTGCTAGTGACTGTAGCCAGAGATTATACTTCTTACACATTTCTGACTCTTTTCAAGTTGCTATGTATACTGTGCAATTATGATAGTTGAATAGCACTGAGGAAAAAAAGTTGTTATAATAATATATCCTCCTTTAGGAAATTTTAATGAGTTTTTATGCATCAGAACAGTCATTAGCATCCAAGAGCTGTCCTGCTTTCTACTTTTGCATTATTAATACCAGCACCATCCATGCAGCTACAGTTAAAGGTCTGTCATTATTTCCATTATAAATTAATATTTTCAAGGATTTAGAACTCAAATATAGAATTCACTTCATTTTCATTGAATTTAAAGGAACCACTTAGATCAGCAACCTCAAGTTCAACCACTTTCTAATTACACCTTGACACAATAGAAGTTAACAGCTCCGTAATAGCCGTTATGGTCTATTGTGTATACAATCTCCAGTTACCACTGCTGCCTGCTGCATCATCTATCTCTAACTGCAATCAAGCTTTTAGCCTCTCCTCTAAAGGCTGTATTTCTTTCTAACAGATCAACAGTCTGCATGAAAAAAACCTGTCATAAGAAGAATAGAGGACCTTTCTATTTTATAAGTCATATTGTGGGAGTAAACATAATTATTGTTAGGAGTGTTTTATAAAGAACATAAGGAGTTTAATGTAAGCACATTCTCTTATGCTAAAAAGTAATGTTACATAACCAGAAATCAGCCACAAAACAGCAGATAAATTGCTGGTAAGACTCTACCAGTGCATGAAAGTAAATGCACGGACAACTAAAATCCTAAATCAGCGGAGAAAATTCTACTCTTGGCTGTAATAAGGAAACACAGCAAACCTTGTTCCAATCTGTATTTTTCTACCCAAATATAAATAGTGCAGCTGACTTTTTTTAATGAGTAAAATGTTGGATTATCTGTTCAGATTATCAGTCTGAAATCTGAGTAATGCCTTTTATAATATTTAAGATGCTTAATGCTGTTTAGATGGAGCTGACTTTTTTAAAAGCTCCATCGTCATGTACACAAAGCATATTTGACCTTAAAGGTAGTTCAGTGTTCAGTTTAATTCCTGTGTTTTAGAAAATCACTTTGGATGACTGCAGAGGCTGTATAACCAACCTCTACTGCGTATGCTTTGCATCTCCATTTTCCTATTATAGGGCCTAAACTGCAATCCTCCAATGCCCACAGAAGGATTGCCATCAGTTTAAGTGGGTTTGGAATTAGGCCCAGAATAGATAACTATGTGAAGCAATAAGGTGCAATTTATTTACATATTTTTGACCTGTCCACAAAACTCTGAGTATATCAGCACTGTTGCAGTACGCTTGAAAGAGAGAAAAAAGAAGTACAAGAAAGACCAAATCCAAAAGAGCCAAAACAAATAAGTCCCAATTTAACCTCTAATACTAATAGCTGTTTCATTTGTGATACTCCATCTCATAGTTGAAAACCCCATTCTCCAGAACATGACTCCTGTTAGTCTATGAGAAAACCCATTTTTTGTTGTGACTTATTTTGACAGCTTTAATATAATTTTCCACCTGGCATCTGGAAAGTTTTCCATTTTCACTTTTCTACAATGTCTCACTTTTGTTTCCAAGTGTATGTCGCATTCACACTGCACCTGTCATAGTGGTATCTATGTGCCTTAACAGCGGTCTGAAAACATACACGCCTTTTCTTTTGCCCTTACACCAGGGACAATTGCTACCTTCATCACCTGTTTTGCAGTGAGATATTGCCCTACTAATAACAACAGTAGCTAACCTCCTTAACACCATCATGTGTTTCAGAGGAAGGGAGAATACCTTTATAATCTTCCAATTCATGGGGCTTCTTTTAATGTTGTTCAGTTTATGGAGCTGTAGTCACTAAATGATTGAAATCTTTTTGCTGTGCTTTCTGGTACTGTTGTCAACTTGTCCTTTTAGCGTCCCACCTACATACATGGAGCACTTCTTCAGAGACACCAAAAGCTTGAATTAAAAAAAATAAATAAAGGAAAGCATGTCAGCTAATGGGCAAAATTAAATATATAGATAAATATATTATTTTGTATGCTCTTCTAAGCAACTCCAAGTTGCAGATTCAGAGTTAACTTAGGGCTTCAGTGCTGACCTTTAGGATTCGCAAGAGAAATTACAATCTGAATTTCAGAAAGGCACTGATCACTTGGAAAGAAGAATATTATTATTTTTTTTCTTTTTTTTGTTTTTGCCCCCAGGCCTCTGGTTTTGAGGTGGGAGCTGCAGTTTATTCTAGCAGACATCATTGAGGATTCAGATCTGACTTGGATTTCTTGTCTACCAAAGAGAAGGCAATTCTCTGGTCCGTCTCCAGTCATATGAAAGCTAGTCAGACTTCAGACCCAGCGGCAGAGCTGTCTCAGAGGCATGGTGTTGGACTGTGGCCATTTGTGTGTGACGAACTAGATCTGGGCTGTGCTTGAGGAATAGGGAGAGCTGTGCTGTGCTCTCTCTCCAGTGCTCATCCTGACTCTGAAAAGGTAAATCATCTCTTTAAATATGAGTGGATCTTGTAAAAGAACCAAAGCAACTTGTATTAAGTTAAAAGGCTGAATGGTCTTAAGTATTGCTCTTAAGTATTGCCTATGTTTTTAAAATCCTGCTCCATGCTGTCAATGATAATAATTATATACCATGACAAAAAAAACACCCCAACAACAAAACAGGGCATAAGAGCATACAGATGTGGGATACATAAAAGGGGAAGTATTTAACAGACTTATTGGAGCTGAAAGTACCAGGGATAATGGATTGCTTAGACACAACTTGGGGAAGTGGTCTAAAAATTATTAACCATAATTGCAATTTATCTATTAACCGTTTCATTTAACTTCATGGTATATTTAGAAACAATTCTGCCATCCAATAATGTACCACTGCTTGTGGCAAACAGCAGATTTGCATGCCTGAGTCTGTTTGGAAGAAGGTTTACCCGAGAAGAACATTACTTCTTCCATTTCACAAGACATTAGCATGGTTATACAGTTAAGTACACCTCAGTGACTTCCACTGTTTTTGCAGAATACTCTTTAATCTGAGAGATAGCAAAGAAAGTTTTAAAGACAACTCCCCTTAGTTAGTTAGTAAAGGTTTCTGCTGCTGTTTGTGCAAGGGTCAAAGAGTTAAGTGTTTAAAAGGCCGAAAGTTTTCCTCTTGTTTTGACTAAACTGGAGGAAACGTGCTGGAGCTGTGCAAAGTTTGATTGCCAAACACAAAGTGAAGATACACAGTGAGAAAAGATAGTAAAGGTTTAACCCAACTGATGTAAGAAACAAACTCCAAGGATACCCATGTTTCCTTGCTTTTATCACACTGTTAATCTTTAATCACGAAAACAGTTCTGAGAACAGCTCTTCGTGCACAGCTAAACAGGCATCGTTGCTTGGAAGTTAATAGGATCACCAGGGAATGAGACTATTAAATCATTGTCCTAATAAATCAATGAGTTAGATGTACAGCCCAAAGGAGTTCAAATTCTGCTTCCACGTGGATATGCAGCAAGTGCACATTAAACCTTGCAAAATCAGCAGTAAGGAGTCAGTTGGTGGGTTCAGAAGAGCAGTGGCTTCCCATGCAGTTGTTTTCCAGCTCAGATAACAAATTGGCATGGGTGCTAGAAGTTCCTGAGGAGCCCAAATCCAGCTTCTCAATTCAAAAATCCAAAGAAATCAAGAAATGGCTACAAAATCTAAGGGCACATTTAAAGTCACTTCACTGGCAGCAGGTGATTGAATCCCTGATATTTACCAGTAGAGATGTCTTCAATCTTAGTCATCTTCACATCTCCAAGATGACAAAATGCCTAGAAATGAGAACAGCAAAGTGACTTGTTTTGTGAATAATGGTAATTACTCTGTTCAGAGCAGCCTCTACAAACTTAAGAGTTTTTTGATCTGATATTCATACCCTTCTTTTGTTCTGTCTTAAACAAGATCTCCTGGGCAGAAAGTATTTATGCTTCATCCAAAATAACCAGATACTGCTTTAGTGCTATTGCAGTCCAAATGCCTGAACAATACAAGGTTAACAAGCAAGTTACTTATTTTAATTGCAGAATGTCAGTTGGTTGCTAATCATTTGCACGTACTAGTTTAAGCTCATGTATAAGAAGTTCCTCTTTACGTAAACAGTATTCATATCCATATGAATCATCCTGAATCAGTAAATTTGGAGATGGGTACAGATGGTCAGTTAACAGAAGCATGTAGAGCAGTCAGAATTCTGTCTCCCTTAAAGCATAAGAAAAAACAGTATGATCTCCAGGGCCCAGCTGAACCCTCGACCTCTTTACTGAGTGTTGTTTTAAGCAATAATCATACTTGTAGCACTTGTCTGGAAGGAACCATTTACACTGGCAAAACAAAAAATGCTTTTACATTGTGAAAATGCCATTACAGTCCACCCATCTTGCCTTCCTCCTATGAGAAATGTGTTAAGCATAAATGTACAGTTATGTAGGATTTCACCTGACCTGTTAACACTTACATAAGGCTTTTCCAGTAAACACAGGATCTGTTTCAAAGGTAACTGGTTTTTTGTAATGTTGATTTTCCTACAGCCATAAGGTTCAAGAACCAAAAGGTATGTAGTGCTTGACATTGGCACATTTGCTTTCTGACCTTTAGGTGTAGCCTGGCTTTTATTTCTGCACAGTCAGCTTCTCTATTCCCATTGTTGCTTTCAGTGTTACAAAATGCTTTAAATATTCATCAAAGCTATTTTCCTGGGAAAAAGTATAGAACAAATTTCACTTGAAACAGAAAACATGGTTCAGCCCAAGTTGCTGCTCTTGTGTTACTGTCAGAGGAGAAAACAGGTTATAGTAAAAGATTTTAATTTCAAATAAGACCATACATTACAATAACCTAGAGAGGACTCAGCAGGGACTACCTGTGGCACACATGTAAAGATGAGATAATGATCTTGCCTAATTAAACTCCTCTGGCTAGGAACTATCAACCTAGGAAGAATGCACAAGAACACAGAGAAATGGGCATTATCACTTCCCGACATCCTTCCCTTGGAACGGTAAAGGCTTGGAGATGCCCATTTACGTGTCCAAAGTCAAATGGGAAATCTGTGGCAGAAGTGGAAACAGAAGCTAAACCTTCTGAATCTGCACCCATGCTTAGTAGTTAAAGACATGCTTCTTTAAGGAAGTTGGCTCATGAAGGACATACAGAACCATGTCCAGTGGGGCAGACTGCATGTAACAAGGGAGAATCAAAATGACAAGAGAGACAAAAGGCAAATGGAAACATTTAAATAAATGACAAAAACACATATTCATGGTCAAGTAGACAAAGCTGTGTAACCGTGAAATGACAACTGACAGTAGAGTGCTGCTAGCAAGCAAAGGATTGCAGAGAAATAACAAATGGCATGCAAAAGGAAGGAGCAAGAGGAGCCAGGGTTATCTCATCCTAGAAGAAAAAAGTTTAAATTCTAAAAGGTGCTGCCATGTCATTTCCTAAGGCCTCAGGAGATGAAGTCTCTGTAAAAGGGCACAGTTAGCAGAACCCTAGTTACCAGCAGGAAGCCAATGACTGCTCTTGAACAAGAGGTTGAAACATCTCCTGATTCTGGAAGCTGTGTGCAAGGATTTGTCATTTACCCCCTCCACAGGTACGAAGCAGGGAGCCCTTGACAGCTGCAAACACACACCTCTGTGGGAAACAGATTTCCCTGCAGCAAGGGTTACCATTTCTATTTCCAAAGCTGAATCTCGATGCCATCTGGTCTTTGTCTGACTGAGCAGAGCAGATGCTGCAGAGGTGAAGGGAAACACAACCTTATGCTGACTGTTTTCCACTCTGTTCAGTACAGTTTGTCCCCTTCTCTCCTGGCTGTGATTCTGCTGTTCATTCAGAAAAAAAAAAAAAAAAAAAAAGGACAAAATGCAGTAACCATGCAAAAATCGTGCTCATGTTCTTGCCTTTATACTGGTAAAGTCAGTCAAAGACCTGATGGGCCCAAATTTTCCATGTGCCTGTTAGACCTTCTGAGGCAGATGAGGAGAGCTTTCAAGTTCACACTTGACAGGATTGCACATACCCAGCCACTGGTCAGGTATCAGGGGCTACAGAGCCCTGTTACATTCACACTTGATCCCTGATACAGGTTTTGTGAAAGATGACAGTGCTCCTTCAGGAAAGAGTCTCCACATTAAAGTCACAGCTCAAGAAGCAGTAACTACTTCTCAAGTTTAAATCTACATTGATCCATCCCATCTCCAGAGTTTATGAGCTGGTGGAAGAGAAGGATGAGCAGTGAGTAACATGCTGCTCAGAACCACTAATTGAGCGAATGCCATCAGTGGGGAGCTGCTTGCTGCTCTGCATATGGGGTGCCGTTTCCCACCAGAAACTCAGGTGCAAATTCGGGGTCCAAACTAAGTGTCTTGTGTTGTTGAGAAGGGTCACCAGCAAAACAGAAGGTAATTAAGTCCTCAGTATCCTTCATAGGCAATGCATGGAGCTGTCAAGGTACCTCCCTAGCCAATATTCCAGGTTTTATTCCTTACAAGAAAAAATGGAAGAGACTCACCTCCCCAGTGATTATAACAGTGTGTCAGAGCCTGTAAAAGTGAGCTTAAAAATGCAACAACAACAACAGAATAAATAATTTCCTAACCAAAGCAGAACAACAATCAAAAAACCAGTGTGCCCATGGTATAGAATGTCAGCCTTGCACGTACAGGGGCACAGCCGGGACTGTCCCTAAAATACAGCTCAGGATTGAGTGCTAGAGCTGATACTAAACTAAGCCTCAAAAGTTGGTGCCTTTCTTCGGAAACCATAAACGTGCACTAATGCATGTTCCCGTCTGCTGAGATTTACTTCCATTTGGCTTGGGAAATTTTAATGTATCTGTTGTCAAGAGGAAAATTCTGGACAGACTAATGAAAGTATAGCCTAATTGTGCTATATCTGTTTTCTCCTTTCTCCTTG